CACACTGGTGCCACATTCTCTTTGACTCTTTTTGTAACGCGGAATTCAGTTCTTGTTTCTTTTTATTCCCTCCCTCCTTCCTGTCTTCCATTTTCTTCTCAAGTACCTCAGTCAAACTCTGCTTCATTTACCATCTCTACAAGTCTCTTCACCTCTGACTTGTGAACCTTCTCTATTTTTAGATATTCTTCTCCTTGGCATGTCCTGCTATTGCAGCCTAACTGATACTACAGAGTCATTTCAGAAACGTGGGATTGTCCTTAAAGTGCACTAAAATCTGTCTACTGCACTGGGATCTCCAAAGGCTCCACAGTAAAATACAAGTGATTTTTCTTGATTAGGGTAAAGTCTTTCCTCATAAAAATGAAAATAGCCTCCACTACTAATGAACAACATTCATTCCCGTCTGGACAATTGCATCACAAGAAAATATTACAGTGTCATTAACATCTGTTCTGTATCATAAAGTTACACAGTAGTTTACCTAGCAAAAATCAGAAACTTCTATGGAGCAGAGGCCACCTAAGCAGGTAGTAAGTGCAAAAGCATAAACCTGTCAAATGACAGAGAACAAGTTCTAAGGAAAGCTAGAAAAGAGCATGCTTCTCTAAGTGAACTTCAAGTTCAGAGGCAAAAAGGGCTACAGGAATGCTGAAAAGCACAGACACTGAAAAGTGAAACTGTAAAAACTAAGTATGTTAAGGTTTCCAAGAAAGCCTAAAGCTAATATTCTTACAGGCAGCTGGCTTACACCTCAGCATCTCCTCAAATTCAGAAGCAAATATCAAACACAATCTTCTAATGAGCAATAACATAAGGCAAAGTAGTTACCGTTATTTCCTCGGATAAATGCGTCCCCATACTTGTTCTTTAATTGTCCATTTACATATTCTTCAGTCTGTTCCAGAGCTATATTCATATACCCATCCAAGCAAGCCAGGACACCTAAAGACAGTGACAGTTTAAAAGTGAATCAGCTTAAACTTACTTTAAAATAAACAAAAATGCATTGTGTTTGAATAGTACTGGAAAAAACCTGTATCTTCATAACAAAAGCCCAGGCTTGGCCAAATGAGTCAGTAGATAAGAGTATTCTTCAAAGAATTAAGTTGGGAGTCGGGAACCCCAGGCACTCTAGAAGCAAGTTTATCAGTTGATGCAAGAGTAGGGGGGAAGAAATTAAGTTGTTAAAGCATGACTTTAAAAAAATTGACAGTTTCCACTTGGAAAGTTTCAGTTGTCCCTTCTCACTTGTGTTTTAAGCCACACACCTGAAAAGAATCTGTGACATGAAGTGTAACTGGATAACCTAAGGACGAGGCTATGTAAATCGAGTTTTCATCACAACTTGTGAAGGACATAGCTGAAAAACAACCCTTTTAATACAGAACACCATACGCACTTTTTCATTTCTATCTTCATGCTTACAGAGCTAGAATAACATTGTCTGCAAGTCTCTGTTTTGATGTAAACAAAATTCAACACCACTTTGAACAGGCGAAGGGTTTTCAAATGACACTCCTCCCACAAAAATAAAATTACACTGTTTAACACAAGAAAATCTCTGCCATTTGTAATATTAAACGTTCTTTTGATCAGGAAAAATATGCATTTGAGTAACACTGATTTTTTTTTAGTGTTACTAAACTAAAACAGGCTTTGCATAGCCCCTGTTGAAGGCTGCACCTTTTTCACACAGTACTTCCTATGTGCTGGCAGCATGATGGCATTTTTTCGTTCAAAATCATTCCTTGCTGTCTACATCCACCCTTAAGACAAGAACCATGACCATCGACAAATTTAACTTGCTTGATCAACAAACAGACTATTCATGTAAAGAACTGAATGTGGGGATTAACAGATGTAAAGAATAGCTCAGAGGATGCAATCTGACTTGCTAATCATGCACACAAAACAATTTTTAAAAAGCTGTATTGGTTATCTCCATCTTGCATGTGTGTTTTCCTGACTTCATCCTTGCACACATAGACAATCCTACTAAAATAATTTTTTTCATCTGTTTGAAAAACACCCAAGTTATTTAGCTGGCATTAAAACTCCAAATATAGTGTATTGGCTGTACTTGGGGAGGGGGAGAAAACTGCAGTCTGAGAATTCTCCTGTAAGACGTGTTCTCATTTTTCAGAAGTGTTACTGTAATATCTTCCATTAAATAATTAGGAACTCAAGTTCTCCTGCCAACTTGCAATGGTTTGAGGATTATTATTTTCCTTTATGTTTTCCTTTCCTCCGTTTCCACACAAATAGGAAAAACTGACAGCTCAAAGTGTTACTAAATGTACCAAAGAACCCAAACCAATCAAAAGTCACAACTCTTTCACTCCAGTAACCCTGAGTGCTCCACATAACAATATAAAACAAAGTTACATTTGTCCAAAATTAAAATTGGACTGTGTGGATTTTCTTAAGCTACCACTCAGTAGGCCATAAATGCAGTATTTTCAAACTCTCTTGTTTCTAGAGTGCATTCATGGTTGTTTCACTTTCCTCCTTTTCTTTGCGTTTACTGTCAAGCCAGTAATGGCACAAAATACTGTTACTGCCCATCCTGGCTAGTATTTTATCTGGTTTATCTATATGTAGAAATGTTTTAATGTACATTTCCATCTCTATGCATGGAAATCATACATATTGATTACTTTACCAGGGCTGCTTCCCTTAGACGTGCGCAGCACTTGTAGCTGTAAAATATCTTTATTTGCTGCCACATCAACACTTGTATTAGGCCACGTTTGTGCGTGTGGTGGCTCGGAGGGTGGAGGTACAGAGAGAAAATTAGCAACACAGCATAGAGGAGGAACCTAGACAGATCTGCAACGAAGGCCTGAGATGCTGGCTTTTTTAATGTTTGGCTTTTACAAATGTTGGTCAAATTTCTGCAGAAAACAAACTGAGTGCATATTTTTCAAACAAGAACAGTATATAGGCTTTTAACAACTGGATCACATCAAGTGGGATGGAAGGAGAACAGAGGGAAATAAGGAAGGGAGGGGAAAAAAAATCCAGTAATAAATACGGATGTTCAAAGGAACTATGGTTCAACTCCTGGTAAGCCTGATTGTAGGCATGTTAAACTAACCTTGTTGAGGGGAAAGTTGAGTAATTTATCTGCAGCAATTACAAACTGATCTTACTGAACAGAAGGTACCAATGTTCTCAAACAAAACAGAGTGCCTCCAAAAAAACCAAATCAGGTTTGGCCCTGCCTTTTGTGTATCTTTAGGTAAATGATGACTGACTTTAATTGACTTTAATGAGCTGTCACTACATTCTTCTGCAAGAAAAAATTTACAGCGGCCAAAGGCCGATGAGAAGCAGTGAAGTTTTCAAGCCACCAACACCACCCGAAGTGCTCAGACTACATGGTTCTCAAAGAAATGACAGACTGCAAATTTTCTCAGCTGAGAGACGCTAAAGAGGAACAGGAAGGGATAAGAAGGCACTGCTTGCTCTGTCAGTGAACAATAACAATTTAAAATCGTCATAATACAGAGATTCCTTGTCACAGTGCAAACAAGTCTCCTCTTACAAGTGCCAAGCTGAGCTAATTGAATTAAACCTATCTGTAGCAGGACTATAATGTTTAAATTATTCCAGAATAAAATGTCTAAATTGTGCACAATAGGAGATGCATGACAGTTTTAAGTTTGGATACTAGTAAAAAAAATGGACAGGCTGATAGTCTTATCCTAACGGGAGAAGAACCATGACATTTCACTGAACAGACAAGTTTAACTTATGGGTTAAAAACACCTACAATCCTACATACAGTGCAAGAAAGCATAGGCTGAAGACTTCTAGAATAAAACTGCTGGAATGTCTTAAAAGGAACGGGGCATATAATAGCAAAAGCCACGCTAAGCTTTCTCCTGTATCTCTGTGAGTCTTGATCCAACACTTGTCTAGGCGGTTGTTTAACCAAGGATGTAAATAACTCTTTCGACCCTTGTGTAAGAACAGGCTTATGATTGATGGCATAGTTTACTGTTTGAAGCTTTTCTGGACCAAAGTCTACACTAGGAATTGGAGAACAGGAAGATGAAGAAAAGGGGAGTTTCAACAACAGTTGCTATCAGAGCACTGAAAACGGGACTGCTTGGCCATTTCAGGACTTGTAATTCCAGCCAGTCTTCACAAATACCAGTTTAGAAATTCCGAATCATCCTGAGACTCCAGCCGAACCATCTGTGACTAAGGACATTAATGATTTAGATAAGTCATTTTAATCTCTAAATCCACCATTAACCTCCTTTTCATCGGTTTCTCCAGAGTTGATTTTCAATTTTTAATGTCACTGTTCTGAGATCTATATTCACATACTCTAATATTCTGGATCACACTGTTTTGCTTTTCAAAAGCAATGCATCTGTTCCAGCATCCCCAAACAATTACTTTACTCAGTGTGAGAGACAGATGGAGAACTTACCTCGATAATCAACTCCAGAATTTAATTTTACAACAACTGGCCTTCCAATGATTTGTTTTAGAAAGTCACTAGGAGTTTGCTTCCGTAGACTCATCTTGATCTCTGGTAAACTGGGAAGAGAAGTGAGAGAAAACAAACGGATAGCAACATGCTCACGTATGGTCTTTAAACACTCAGAAGAGACAGGCAGTCCTCTGATGCTTAATACTTTCAGTAGGAGAAAATATCAAAGGAGATAAAAGCAAACCTTAAGGGTGGAGGTGGAGAGGCAGAGCTCCTAGAGCCGCAGCATTAAACTTTCCCTTTGGCATTTTTATAACTTCTGAAATTATTAATAAGAATCCTTGTTTGCCACGCTGTGCATCTTGTAAACTTCCAAAGGAGCCAAAGCCCTCATCTTCTCTGTAACACCTTTTGCTAAAACGGTTTTACTAAACTTAGAGAGCTAAGTCATAGTTACTGGTTCGTATCTTTAGGCGGTGGAGGGAGAAGGCAGTACATGCTCTGTATGCAGAAGCCTGAGCCAGAACAGCAAGAGAAGGATTTTCGATTTCAGCTCACAAATACGAGCAAAGAATAAATCTGAAAGGCTGCCTTCCACCGAATCAGTTCAGTCAGACTAAGTTCAGAGTTAAGGCTTGTGACCGAGTTGTACGGAGACCTGAAAAGACGCTGCGATTTAAAAATTCCCGGTGCGGCACATGCACCCACTTCGCAGGAGATCCTCCCTCCCTCAGTATTGCTTAACTTCTGCTTCGATGTCACTTTGTCGAAGTAAAACTTGTAAGTTTTACTAAGTAAACTTAGTAAAAAAACTAAGTCAAACTTAAAAAGCCTTTTAAATCGACGGCGGAAAGCAGCGCTAACGCTGACACCCAGCGCAGCGCAGCGCCGGCTTCTCGCTCTTTGCCCTCCGTGGCGAACTGCCATCGCCTCTTCCAGCCGGGCGAGCATCGCCACTGCTCTTCCCACCGGCACGCTGTGCCACCTGCGGTGCTGGCCCGTCGGGCTCGGCGGCGTTGGCACTCCATAGCCGAAGCTTTCCCTGGAAACAAGCGCGCTCTGATCCCCGAAACCGAACACGCTCCGCCCGGTGGTACGTGCCGCCGCCAC